TCTTGTTACTACTATTTCACTACCTACGGGCCCTCTCCGCCTAATATCGTTTTTCCTAATGGCAAAACCTTTACATTTTTCATACCTATAATAAAATTCATAAGCTTCATTCACATTTCCAAATTTCAAAGCACGAATTTCATCGAAAGTAATCAAACTTACACTCACTACTCTATCACCTACAACTGCATCACTTTTTATCACGTCCGGTCCAACCGATTCTTCATCATCGTCATTATCAAATTCATATTTATGATTTGAACTTTGATGACCCTAGAACCAACACAATTAACATTTTCATCACAACTACATTCAGTATCAGATGAATCAGTGTAATCAACATTGTTCAAATCAATATATATATATATATATATATATATATATATATATATATATATATATATATTCTAAATAATTAAAAGACCTAGCTTCTACCAAAAATTGAAGGAAGGCGAGAGTCAGCATAGCATAGAGTATTTGACATATCCGATGAATTGCAAATATTGACAAAAAAAAGTACAGCGAACAATTTACATGCAATTGCAATTCGACAAAACTGAATCTCTTTTCTTCACTTATTCTGAGGCTTCGATACCAACTAACTCTTCATATAGTTCCAATTTAGAATCATTGAATTTTATTTTTTGGACTAAATTCATCGAAATTCATTGGACAAAAACATGGAAAATAAGGATGGCACCCCAAAAGAAGCAAAAGATTACTACTCTAGATCAATATGGTGGTCAGAAACATCACAAGCTTTTGAGGATTACAAAAATTGGTGTCCGCGATATCCAAATGATCTTCATCCACTTTCATTTTTGGCTTGTCAGTGAATTTTAATCTGCCATCCTTTATCGCATTTTGAATTAGATCCCTGAAAAGAAAACACTGTGAGGTTTTGTGGCCTAGGAAACTATGATACTTGCAAAATCCTCTTTTCTTTCTTTGATCTAAAGGAGGTATTTTGACGTTCGATGGCACAATGAGTTGGCCATCTTTGACAAGCAAATCAAAAATCTCGTCACACTTTGTTATGTCAAAAGTGTAAACCTTCTTTGGGAATTTGTCACTTTTCTCATTTTCAACAATTTCTTTCCCTTTTGTGGGAACTAATAACTTACAAGAGTAAGGTGGAGCATGTTTCAATTCAGCAAGATCAATTTCGACCTCTTCGAATTCAGGGTAATCTTCTGCTTCCTCAGCTCCAACATAGGAGACCCTTTCTTTCTTGTTATTTTTAAAAACTCTGGCCTTTTCGGCCTTTAGTCTTTCGACTTGTCGAACCCTATCGGCTAACTGAGCCATGTCCCTCAAGTATTATGTATCTAATTTCTTTCGAATGGAGTAATCCATGCCGCCAGCAGCCATTTCGACTAACTCATGTTCAGGAACTACTGTAAAGCATCTAGATTTCAAGAGTCTGAACCTATTCAAATAATCATCTATGGGTTCAGTAAACTTCCTCTTGACACTGGCTAGTTCCTTCAGACTTATTTTAGATTGCCCCATGTAGAACTGTTCATGGAATAATCTCTCCAACAGAGCCCAAGTGTCTATGGACCCAGGGGGCAAAGTGGTGAACCATGTGAAACCGTTCTTAGTTAGGGAACTTGGGAAATATTTGATCCTAAGGTCTTCATTATTCGCTATATCTCCCACTTCGGTTAGATACCTGGCTATGTGTTCGACTGTTGATTCATTGGTATCTCCAGCAAACTTTGTAAACTTAGGGACTTTATATCCCCTTGGTAAATCAGTATGCATTATGTAATCTAATATAGGAGAGGCATAATTTGGCCTTCTAATTCCTGTATTAAGGCCATTTTGGGCCATGATTCTCTCTATCACGGTGGTTAAATTATTTTCTGCCAAGATGTTATCGTTTCGAATTCTGTGAACGACTGCATCAGCATCTTGATTTCGACCCACCATGACAACTCCTCTAGGTTGTTCTTCTCGAAACTCTGGGACTCCTAACCTTTCGATTCTTGCCCCTGGTTCTATAATTTCCCTTTGTGGGCCTTGAATCATTGGGGCTTCTAACCTTTGCGCCCTTGCCCCCAAATTAACCTCCTCTCTGGGTGGTCTATAGGGTGGGTCATCAGCAACTTGTTCTATGATAGGTACGTTTGCTCGAACTCCCGCCTGATTTTGCCTACGCCTTTCTGGGGGAGCGAAAAAATCTGCTATTCGACTCATGTTATCTGCGTTTTCTCTGTTTGTCACAGTTACATTTTGTACTATTGGGGCAAAGATCTCCTACATAGTTTGTGCTAATACTCCTATCATATTGTGGTTACTGTCATCCATTAATTGCCTAAAGGCCAACTGATTTTCTGTGGTTAAGATAGGCATTGCACTATAACCCACTGACCCTTGGTTATTTGTCATAAATTGATTAGTCCCAGATCCAGACCCTAATGGTGGTGACGTATTCGATGTCGAAGCGTGCAGACCTGCCATAAAAGATGTTGGCATCCCATAAGAGGAATTTCTGTGTTTGTTAGCATCGAACCCAGGTGGTCTAGTTAGTGGGGTGGCGAAATGGGTTTGTGTCCCTGATGGTGGGACGAATCCCCCAGGATAACCAATGGTTCCTGTATTTCCTAGGGTCGAACTGTTAGTCGACATGACACTTGTCCCATTCGTGGCTATACTACTGGTAGAAGATGCAACAGACTGTGCGTTCGAAGGGATCGCATTAGATGTTCCCGTCGAAGCGGACATATTAGTGCCTATTGCATGTGGGATATTTTGTTCCCCTTGTTGATTGTCTGGATTAGACATCTTGTTTAAACGTTTTCTTCTGGGTAAGGGTTGGTTGCTATTGGTTATTCTACCACTTCTAAGGTTCATAAAACAACGAACTTATCACTCAGAAAGTACTTTTACAATGGTTATGTCTTAACAATCTTTACTTTGTTCTAAATTTCGTAATGACCAATGACCGTCCCACCGGGTGTGCCAATTTGTTTACAGTGATTTCTGGTAAACAACCGCTAGTCCTCCAAACTATCAAATAATCTTAATGACTGTTATTTAATCTCTCTGGTAACTCGCAGGATCGACTAGATTGATCCTATGGTGTATTGGTCATTTTGATAATTCTCATTGTAGAACTGATATTCATGGTTGGTATTTAGAATGTTGTGTATGCGTTTAACTTGCTTCGATTACCATATCAAAATATTTAATGACATGATCAAGTAAAGATGTACGAAACTAAGTTGCATGAATAAAGATTCGATTGTAAAGAAATGTAAAACTGCAAGAAACAAATAAATAACTTTGAAGTATACAAGCATGTAATGTAAAAGAGTTTCTGAAAGGTAAAGTATTCGAAATAGAAAGAAAGCATTTAAATGCAAGAAATCAGTAAATGACTTTGGATAAAAAGGTATTCGAATGACAAAAGCACGAAGATAAAAGCGTGAAATGTACAAAAGTTTCTGAAATATAAAGGATTCGAAATAGAAAGAAAGTGTTTAAATGCACGAAATCAGTAAATGACTTTGAATGAAAAGACTTTAATGTAAAGGCTTTTGAATGATATTGACATGCAGATAGGAGATAAACCGGAAATGATAAAGAGTTTTGCTGAATCATAAATATTTGGTGTTATCATACGTACATTGTTCGAGCATTCGTTTCCCTAGCCATGTGGTATTTTGAATGTTTACTGAATTTTGTACAATAGATATGACACACGAAATCCTAATGTTAAGACATCTATTTATACTACTTCGATCATAACGGTCTTGCCTATAAGATTCTGCCACGTTCAGAACATGCAGAGCACTGCCCCTCTCTAGCTTCCACGCGTCTTCGAATGCTCCAGCGCATACATTTCAAATTTCGAACATCCCGCCTGCGTTTGAATTTCAAATGTTTGGCACTCTTCGCTTCAAACTCCTTTCTTAAACACAGTCTCATTACCACTTCGAGGCTTCTTTTAACTACATCTTCACAACTGTCACTCGAAGCTCTGAGCTTTGACATGTTCATTCGAAGAACTGCTTCTACCATTTCGAACCATGACATCTTGCTTTATCCCAATGAAACATCCAACTTGCTTCGTTTCGAACTATATCATCAAAATCTTCAGCCAACAATGAGCCTCTTCAAAAATTGACACTACATATTTTCCCTTTTTGTTATTGAAGTGCACACGGAGCCTAGCTTCGTAACTAGTGCGGGTCATCTGTCAGTGCTCTCTTTTCCTATCTACCCTATCTATGTGTTTCTTATCTCTTAATTCGTGTTTGTTGCATACATATTGTCTCGTTACTACTATTTCACTACCTACGGGCCCTCTCCGCCTAATATCGTTTTTCCTAATGGCAAAACCTTTACATTTTTCATACCTATAATAAAATTCATAAGCTTCATTCACATTTCCAAATTTCAAAGCACGAATTTCATCGAAAGTAATCAAACTTACACTCATTACTCTATCACCTACAACTGCATCACTTTTTATCACGTCCGGTCCAACCGATTCTTCATCATCGTCATTATCAAATTCATATTTATGATTTGAACTTTGATGACCCTAGAACCAACATAATTAACATTTTCATCACAACTACATTCAGTATCAGATGAATCACTGTAATCAACATTGTTCAAATCAATATATATATATATATATATATATATATATATATATATATATATATATATATATATATATATATATATATATATATATATATATATATATTCTAAATAATTAAAAGACCTAGCTTCTACCAAAAATTGAAGGAAGGCGAGAGTCAGCATAGCATAGAGTATTTGACATATCCGATGAATTGCAAATATTGACAAAAACAAGTACAGCGAACAATTTACATGCAATTGCAATTCGACAAAACTGAATCTCTTTTCTTCACTTATTCTGAGGCTTCGATACCAACTAACTCTTCATATAGTTCCAATTTAGAATCATTGAATTTTATTTTTTGGACTAAATTCATCGAAATTCATTGGACAAAAACATGGAAAATAAGGATGGCACCCCAAAAGAAGCAAAAGATTACTACTCTAGATCAATATGGTGGTCAGAAACATCACAAGCTTTTGAGGATTACAAAAATTGTAACAGAAATGGAACTTATAGCTTCCAAGAAATTATGACACCAGAAATCTCGGAAACATTTGGAGATCTCAAAAGCTTAACTAGTAAGAGAAACATAGTTAATGAAATAGTATCAGACACCACTGGTAGCGATGAAAACGATAAATTTGTTGTTCCTTATTCTATACAAATATTGTCGACGGAGATCGTCGAAATAGTTGAGGATGGGAAGAGCATAACAATCAACAAAGATAGAAGAGTTGATGATCTTTATGTTGCTGTTGGAGAAGATGATTTGGATGTTGTGAAATGGGCTCTTGATCATGCTGTTTCTCCTGGTGCAAGGATTTTTCTTGTTCATGTCTCTCCTCCAATCACATTGATTCCAACGCCAGGTAACAACCTAACCTCCACAATTTCCACTTCATTTTCACTCATTTTTTATTGGAAGAGTGTTCCAAACTTCTTATCAGGCCGTCTTAAATTTTCAGAGATTACGTGTCGATTATTTTATGAGGCTCTTTTATCTATTGGTTAAACGTGTCAAATTTTAAGAGTATTTTATCTACGGTTTAAATGTGTCAAATTTTGAGTATGTGCGGTAGTCTGCCTTACCTGCTCTCAAAGACTGTGATTCAAATAGATGAATTTCAAAATGATATGTGTTTGTGAAATTCTGACAATTATAAATGTGAAAGTTGGGATGCTTGAAAGAAACCAACTGACTCCGCAACAAGTAAGACGTTACCTAAATGAAGTGAACAATAAGAGGAAAGATCTTTTGCAGAATTATATCCAGCTCAGTAATGAAGCCAAGGTAATAATGGTTATGATGACATTGATATTCAAGTTTAGACCACAAAAAACCATAGTCCAAAATTAAACCAAAGTATTATTTTTCTCTTCTCACAGGTAACTGCAGACACATTGATTCTTGAAAGCAAACATAAAGGAAAAGCCATTTTGGATCTCATCTCTATTCTTAACATAACCAACCTTGTATTAGGAATCAAAAAGCTTCCCTGCAAAAGGTATATATATGCTACCACTTAATGTAAATTTTTTAAAATCAAAGTAACTATAATCTACTAATCACTTAAATTATGTTTATGAATTAACAGGGGCAATGATAAATTAAGTGAAGGAGAGTTTGTAAAGAAAAATGCACCAAAGACATGTGATGTTACATTAATTTACAACGGCAATGTATTTGTGTCTGACGCTTGTTTAGGTGAATTTCCATACTACGGTTCATTATCACAAAATAAAGATCACTCAAAACGCAGCTTCTTTCATCAGTGTATCTGCTTTTCAGGCAAGGCAACTATATCATCTTTTTATTACTAAAAAATCCTTTTGGTGCTTTATAATTAATTTGATAATCTAATTATTACTTTACCCTTGTTTATAGGATGCGTGGGGGAAGACAAGGATAACTAGTTAACTGTTATGATGTATCAACTTCAGTCATGTGGAGGTAGATAGAGCTTGCAAAAGATTATTTTTTGTTTTTTTTATAAATAAAATGTCATGTAAAAAGGGTGATATTTTTAACACTTTACTTTAGATTATTTTTTGTATTGTCTTTGATATACCATTCTCGATTTCTATTCATACTAATTTATTAAGTATTTTTTTAACATAGTAGACGACGACTCGTCAACTTCAATTTTAAAAATTATTTTCTGTTGAAATTAATCTTAATAAAAATTTATACAAGGCAAGTTAGAAATTGTATATTGTGTATTATTAATGTTGTGATTAGCATATGAAAGTGTTTACCGGTAAGGAATTAAATTTGAAAAAATTCTAAGAACAATTTGTGCAGAATATCATAATAAAAAGTGTTTGTGTTTGGAATTTAGATGTTTGGATATTAAGAGTATGGATTGAAACTATGATGGAAACAAAGCATAATTGTTTTGGAAGAAGAAAGTAAACGAAATACATGTCGTTAAGCAAATGCTTGAATTTATAAGAGTTAAAGAAATGACGCGGGTTTATACATCTTCTTACAAACTTTTTCTCTTTATAATTTAGATACCTTAGTTCTATAGAGAATAAATGAAAATTGCGATATCTGTTTACATAATCAAACTCGTCTTATATACTATTACAATGTTAACCGTCGATAATAGTTATCTCCGCAGAAATCGACATGTACTCTCTTACGTGGGCTTCAGCCTTCTAGTCTGCTCCCACGTGTCTTCAACATTTGAACTATTTTGAACTGTTTTTGTTGTATTGAACCGTCTTTCAATTCTCCTAACTGCTTTTGTCGAGAGTTTTCTCTATCGAACCTTTGGAGTATAGCGTCAATATGATTAAGCAACTTGTACTTTAGCTTGTATATTCATCTCACTCCAATTTCTATTCAAATATACTAAACCATTACAAACCTTTTCGAGATTCTGAACATATTTTGAAAAGAGAGTGATATTAATTTTGTGGATCTATTCCTGAGATTCTTCCAAACCATCCTTTGTAGGTTTCTAGGTTACCTAAACCTTGAAATCAAAAATAGACTAAATCACAAACATTTGATAAGCGAGTCGAACTCACCCCTTCAGTCGAAGTTATCAAAATATCAAAACGATATCTACGTTATTTTATACTTAGAAATCACACATATCTTTATATCACGCCTTTACGTCGAAATACTAAACCAAAATTCCCAGGCTAACAGATGCCCTCCAAAAATGCCACTTTCGATCTTATACACAAGATGGAAGAAAGATGATGTTTTTTTAGTAACTACTTGACATTGCTCAAGGTAGTCTGCATACGTCATAGTAATCATGACCACTTTCATCAAATCGTCACGTTAGCGAACATGCTTGCACTTAGCCATTATGACTCTGATTTCTAAGGACATTGTGGGCTACAAGATTAAATCACAATAAAGAAATCATTTAATAGATTTCAAATCAAAAAAATCAAACACCATTTGTTCCGATTTGAGAGAGACACTGAAACATTTTCTTCCACTATATGTACACCTTCACTTTATTATATTTTTTCTTTTTCACAACTTCTTCTCCTTCAGAACCCTAAGAACCCTCAACTTCTGCAAAATTTCATTTTTGTTGCTCCGTCAAACTTCATAAACAATGGCTTCTTTTTTTGTTTCAACATAACAACTTCCAATTATGTTTGCTTTTGAAGTTACCGCTCCTACTCTTCCTAGTGATCGCACATATGTTCTTGAACCACCAATGGAGGAAGAAAAAACCATCATATGGGTCTCTCAAGTATTAATCCCATTCTCTATTTCAGGTAATTTTCATGCATTCTTGGGCCCATTTCCCAAATCTTCTAAAAAATCCGAATAGCTAAAGAAGTTTTTTCCTTGCTATCATCGCTACAAACCTCGGGCGTTTGAAGACAAAACTTATGAGTTAGGGTTCATGAGTGCACCCCCACCATGTTTTTTGTTCCCCCTCTAATAAAAATGAGGCTTACATCAATTAGTTAGACAAAGTAAATAAAGAGAAAAAAGAGCAATTTTAGAAAGACCAGTGTATCTATGATCTGATTTAATTGTCCAGAGTTAGCCCCTAGTATAATGCCAACATGCTTATTTCAGCCATCTTCTTTTGGGAAGGTTCGACTAACACCTTTCATCTACACTGTGGAATGGTGACTCCTACCCTCTTCGACGTGGCTGTCATTACAGGTTTTTGAACCACCAGAGAGACCTTTGACCCTTATCTTAAAAATAAAATCAAACCAAACATATATTTTCCTCATCCAAGCTATAGTAACTACCTCGAAGATCACTATAAAATCCATCATGAGGAATTCTCTGACTATGAGCATATTGCTTTCCTCATCTTTTGGCTATCCAACTTTGTCTTTTATTCTAGATCTCTTCAGGTAGGCAAGAAGTTCATAGCTTTGGCAACCCAAATCCATGAGAGAAAGAACATTTGTCTTAGTAAGCTGATTTTAGGTTCCCTGTATGAATCTCTGGGATCTCTTCGTCTAACCTAAAATCCATAACCAATATATCTCAAAAGTTTCTTATCTCTGTTCCTTTGTGGCTTCTGCAACTATGGCTCAATGCCATTTTTGAACCATCTCTAAGGGTCAGCATCCCTTTTGACTTAACAAAACAAGCCAAAGAAAGATTGGTCTAAGCTACTAGGCATGCTCTACTTACTCCAAATGATATTGGCCTTTCGACTGAAATAGCCTTCAAGAAATACTTTTTCTTGTTTGTAGGCTGCGCCACTTTTGACTCCTATATGACCCTGTTTGTCAGTCAAAGTTATGAGCCAAATTGGTTTAAAAGAGAATTTCCACCTCTTTTCTCTGAACAACATTTTGAGGCTATCGACATCTGGGTAGCTTTTCTCGAGCCTACTATTTTGTCAACTAGAATTATGCTGGGAAAAGGTGGCATGGGACTTGTTAGCTATCAGTCCATCTTGGTGGCATGGGACTTGTTAGCTATCGGTCCATCTTGGTGGCCAGACAATTTGGCTTCAACCAATTTCTACCAAAGTATTTTTTCTGAACTAGATTCGAAATCTTTATGGCAACTACTGAACTGTTAGAAGAAGAATATCAAACATGTCTAGACTTCCATACCAAAGAAGTTATTACTCTAACCCCTTTAAATTTCAATCTTCTTATCTATGCACACAACAATTTGAAGAATGATGGTCATCATATCATATCATCTCGCCCTCTATATGGATCATTTACTTCTTCTTCAACTTTTAACATACGTTTTTTCATCTCTGCTGACTAAATTCAAGAAAAGTCGGGGTACACACATCAAGGAAATTCGTGTTTTTCAAAATTATTTTGAAACTGTATATAACACATGCAAACTTAGTCGAACTATCTATGATGCAACCCTCACTTTAAAACATAAATTGTATGAAAAACTCCAAAACTTGAAAATTCATCCTTATCAATGTTTTAAAAACCAGACCAAGCCGACCGGTCAAACCGAGAACTGGATGGGTCACCAGTTTGGTCTAATTACTGGATTAGGTAAGCTATTGAACAAGTGAGAATCGGCTAGAACTGGCCAAAACTAGTAAAATTTAGGGAACCAACGATTTTGGAAAATCGGCGGGTCAAATGCTTGCTTTTTTTTTATTTGATAAAATGAAGTCGTTTTTTATAAATATAAGTAGAGTTTGTTCAAAACATATTTAGAACAATTTTCCCTCTTTGGAATTAAATTTATTAGACACAACCACTTATTTTCATATTCAGTTTATGTTGCAATTAGACTTTGTTAAAAATTTATTTGGATTTGTATTTTGTTGTGTGTGATGACTATATTTAGAATTTGAATTTAAAGAATGAACTTGTAAAATTATGATATTTTAAAATTTAATATTTTGCAGGTGTTATGATTTTTTAGAGACCAAATCATCTAGTTTGACCGATTTAATAACTATACATTTTTGTTATAAAGATTAATTTATTAAACTAAGTTATCCAGTTTAATCTAGTTTATCCATGTAGTTAGATCAGTGACCCAGTAGTTTGAACAACGAACCAGTGACCCAATACTCTCACAAGTTTGATGATCAATCCAATTTTTAAAATATTGCTCCTTATGTAAAATATAATTATGTTTTTTCTTTTAAGATTTTATTTTTCTAAGCTTCCACCATTACCAACCTGTGAATTTGGCTTGGCTTTTCGGATGCAATTTCCAAAGTGGTTCCCCTGTGGGTCTTGGATGGCCCTAGAAAATTCTTTAAAAAACTTGCTCACAAAGTAGTTCTGATTAAGCATGATATGCACAGTCATAGAGGACATCTCCATGTTGATATCATACATGTTCGAATCCTAACACCCAGTTTAGTATGTGAGATTCAGGACCCTTAGGAACCTCTTAAATCTCTTTATATTTCACTTTATTTACTTGTCTCAAATTGCTACAGTTGCACACCTTTCTTCAAAAGAGTCAAAGAAGAAGCAAATAGAAACAACCAATGATGTGAGGAATCTGACCATCCAAAGGAAACAAAAAAGGTAAACCTTTTATACCTTCTTTCTTTCTTTCAAAAACGGGCTTTTCTTTTTATCTTGCTTATCCTTGTTATTTTACTGAGTCGAAAAAGAGTAGGTAGTACCACTAGCGCCACCCCAAAAAAGAAAGCCAAGAAAGACAAAGTCATTGTCGCTCTTGATAGTGAAAAAACACATGTATTACTTATTCTATGACTATCCTGTATTTCCTCGCATCCATTCTTTATCATACTAACTTTTTACAAATGCTTTAGTCTTAGACAAGAGTTCAAGAGAAAAATCAAGAAGTTGAGCCCACTGACGAGGGTCGATGAAGTGGGTGAAGACCAACATCTTGAATAACCATCTGATGGCCTAGATGATGAAAACTTTGAACAAACTTCAATTGATTATGAGGAAGACAACTCTGACCATCAATTGGCTTATGCAAACAAACATGT